GCAAACAGTTGAGAACTCGTCTAAAATGCTTTTAGCTGCCAGTTTAAATAATTCCTTAATATGCACTAATAAGCACAGTGAAAATAGTCTTGGCGCTACCGCAGAAGCTAACGTTTGATCTCCACTCTTTGGGACTCAGCCAATCAGTGCCATGGGACAAGATTGGCTGCTTTACTAACGGCAGCCAATCAAGAGCGATGCGTCTGGGTATTTCCTGAGCTGCATTTATTTACAGATATTTTAAATGTTCTCAACAGAAACAAATATGAATAGGTGAGGTTTTTCACAAATAACTTGAGTTAAGAAGTCCGTCCAGTGTTGAACCAGAGAAAGAACCAAAACCCTCGAGGACCGACTTTTGGGATCGTTGGTTTAGACCAAGCAACAAATCATGGTAGACTGATAGACTGTTTCTATTTTAACTTTAACGGAGGAGAGAAAAATGATTTGTGGAAAAATATTAGGATGAAGATTACAGCAGTAGGAGAGATCATCTCCTGATATGTTTGAGGTCAGTTGGATTTTTGAAATAGTCCAGTGTGTGTTGGGTAAACACACAGGAAAGGACGTCCCTTTGCTCTCCAGCAGCCCGGACACACACCTGTCACTCCATCAATTCCCCAGGGACACAGAAACCCACAAACAACGAGGGCTCCACACACACACACACACACACACACACACACACACACACACACACAGAGATAATTTAGTAGCTGAGGCTGCTGAATCAGGCGGTACATTCTTCCTTTAAACAGTTGGAACATATTGCCGCTCCCTGATTGATCTGCTCTTATTTTAACAGCTGTCCTGATTCTGTTTATACAAACAAAGTTCAGTTTTAAAACATAAAATCCAGAAATATAATTGATTTTGAAGAGAAGATGTGTTGATATGGTGTAAATAAAGGCATTGACATGTTAGTCTCTCTTCTTCCTTGGTTCAGTGGGTTATTGCTAATTCATTATTATAGAAAAATTAATTGTAAAATTAATTGACTGTTTTAATTCTTTGCAAACCCCTGGACCAATGAAAGTAGTGAGTCATCAGCCTCATTTAATCCTTAGCAGCATAAAAAATAGATGCATGTTTTGCACTGGTACCAATTCTGCATAATAGATCTGCTCACTACTGCTGCATAACATATCCAACTCCAATCATCGCTGTAATTTCATTGTGTCCAATTATTGCAAGGATGCCGTATTTATGCCTCTCATAACAATAACATGTTTACCCAGTTGGAGAGACTCCAAACCTACCCTGATGATTTATGTTTCAGTGGCTGTGATGCTAAAGCATTCAGAAAATGGCAGAACGCTGGTTAAAGCTCAACAAAGACAAGAAAATGTATCATTGAAAAAGTATGTAACAATTAGGAATGGAAACAATTAACCATTTGGAGCTTCTCCCATCCATCAGAGGGCGCTGCTGGTCATACTTAAACAGACCCAGTTGACACAGAAACAAAGATGGCGGGGCCATACCAGAACAGGAAAGAGAACCGGTCCAAATGGAGTCTGTTGTGGGATGCAAAATTCAGCTTATGCGGTTCTGCTTAGAAATATAAATGCATGACAAGATCATTAAGTTATTAGCTTAAAGGCAGCGTCAACTTTTCAACCAAAGATTACAGATTTTTTAAAGAAGGTGAGGATGTAATGATGACGGCAATTCAAAGGACAATATGCAAAAAAACTGACATGACATGAAAAGACATGATGCCAATAAGCTCCGTTGATTTTGAGGGCTTTCTAAGTTTAATAACAGGAGAAAACCAAACCTTTCTGTTTATTCAGTCTGTGTCTAATCCAGCTGACATACAAAAAATGTTAAAATATAATGATGTGCTTCTTTTCTTAATTCAGCATATGAAAACTGTAGCCCTTTATGTTTTGGAAAGACGGTTTTCCCTCCTGATAAAAGGGGAAAAGTTGGATTTTTAAGAAAGTGGCAGATTTTCAATTAATCGTTAGTCAATCGATGGGAGCAGTTAACGTTACACTAATTCATTAACTGATAACTTGCATCCTGAGTAACAATTTTCGTTTATTGTTGTAGCGATAAATTCTAATGAATGATATTTTAAAAATAAAACTGACTGTATTGTTGATTTTTTTTTTTACCATTTTCTCCACTGTTTCTTCCATGAGAGTACCAATAAGTTAGTTAAATGCAGTCACTGCATGCAGCCGGGTGACATAAATCACGTCTTTACGTAACCTGTTCCATATGGGAATGTTTCTCCAGATCAATATTTGTGTTTGTGGGACTCTGACTGCTGCGCTGTTCAGTCACAGCCACACAGTTATCTAAAGATGACAGCAATGAAGTAATAAGTAGAGTTTTGTTATCACAATGGTAACAGAAATGTAATTTTATGTCAACGCAAAATGGAATAAATTTTAAATAAAGCTTTCGTAGTCATACAACAACTCAAAGGACTTTTAGACAGATTCACAACTCAAACATTCATGGGCCATGATGACGATACGATTTACAATAAATAAAGAACTAAACAGCATTAATTAGGATTGGGTGATGTGGACTTAAGTCTTATAGTATTTTGATTTTATTGTGTTAATGATAAAAATAATAATAAAATTATTTATTTACTTCTTTTTTAGGCAACTAAATAACTGATTCTGGAATTAAAGCCCCACAAACACAAATCCTGCTCTTGCAAAGCATTCCCATTTATAATACTCTTCTTAAGAACCCCAGTCACTTAAATAAGTGAAATTTGTATTATAAACTTTACACAGCAACTGCATTTAATTATATTTTAAAATTTATTGATAGAAACATGGGAGAAAATAGTAAAACTAACAAGCCCAAAAATATGTACAGCTTTAGGACGTTTTAAACATCATTAATGGGAATTTATTGTGACAGCAATAAATCAAAATTCTTATCATGATAAGAAATTTATCACAATAAATAACAAACGATACGATGGTGTTAATATCGTCCTGCACCTTCCCAGCTGCTAGATGAATAAAATCATTATTTCCATTGAAACAACAAGGTTTTCTTCTGCTGGTTTGATCATTACTGGACCACCTCTTGTTGCTTAAAGCAGATTTTTAAGCTGCATTAAACAGAAAGCACTTATATTACAGGCCCAGAGAGCCTGAACGGATCAAACTTAAAACGTGAGCCAGCATGCGGTGCACTCCTGCTGCTGCTCTCTATGCAGATTGTTAACGGTTCATTTTTTTTCTTAATCTTTATAAACTCTTCTAATATTGTATTAAAAAAAGCTTAAGTGGTTAAATAGAAATCTGCAGAATGTGCCAGTATTTTTAATCAGATTTAACCCTGAGAATAATCAAAAGATTCATCATTCATTACTAGTTAATCATTAGTTGCAGTGCTGCTGTTTTGTCAAGCTAACACTTTCCAGATCGGTAAAATAAACGGCGGCTCCTTGAAGGTCACGACTCAGAGGTTCTGCTGATCCCAGAGCAGACGTGACCCGATGTTTACAGATCGCTCCTCTAACTGAAATGCATTGCTCATGGGAAAGACTGGGTTTGTGTGTGTGTGTGTGTGTGTGTGTGTGTGTGTGTGTGTGTGTGTGTGTGTGTGTGTGTGTGGTTCACGCTTGGTGTCAAGGTTAGATTGTGACTTAAGATCTGACAGGAGTTTTTCCGCTGCGGTTATATTTTTGCACCCTGTGAAGAGTCGTGTTTGTGTTAAAGCGTTTGTTACTGTGACGACAGGCTGGACTTGGTCACCTCATGCAATTCTGGTTCTGGTGGATCTAATTGCTTTAACTCCGGGCCGTTTGAGATGTTGGTTGACATCAGGACTCTGTGGGTTCTTAAGTTCTGCAACAAGAAACTGTGAAAATGTCTGTTTATGAACTGAAACGATTAATTAAAATAATCGTCAACTAATCGATTAACCGTTAACTGTAGCATACACACTGAAAAAGGCCATTTGGTGAAAGAACATATTCAGAACAGTGATTAAGCCAAAATATAGAAAATATGTCTACATTTTGCATTTAAGATAAAAACACATTTTGTAAATTATGTTTTAATCAAAATTCTTAAGATGGTATCAATTTAGCGTCACACGATTTTGTTTCACTAAAAGGAATGTTGGTGCCGCATATTAGGCAATAAAATGTTTATTTTGTTATTTAAAAGAAAAAAGATTTAATTCTTTAGTTATTTGCATATTTTATTGTATTTCTAATACAATAAAATATTTAAAAACTTATCTAATAAGTTTTTAAATTAAAAATCTGGGGAAAGAATTTTTGAAAATTAAATCTATAATTGATTACTAAAATTATTTGTAGTTGCAGCCCCAATAATTTTCTGAGTAAATTAGAAAATTTCTAAGTAAATTAGAAAAATTTCTAAGTAAATTAGAAAATTATTGAAACTTTTATTTATTTAAGTAACATTTTTTACTTGTAGTATATTATATAGATTATTTGCTATCAGAATCATGCTTTTAAACTTGTATTTCTGTTAATTTTGATGATTTTCTACTTGGAATTAAAAATAAAAAATCTCAACCTGGCCCTAATATTTTGTCATAGAGTTGACATGAATTCAAAGTCCAAATAGATAGAAACTAAAACAAGATGGCGGTCCCACGGTGTGCTAACATCACTCTGGAAACCTAAGCAGTTCATTGATGAGAAAAAAATCTTGATTTTCCAAACACTAAAAACCAAAAAAAGTGATTAATTGATAAGATCGATTTATCGTACCACTCCAGTTAAACGTGTCAACATGTCGACTCTCCTGGAAGTCAGGTGACCTCTTCCTCCAGGCTACGACTGGAGGAAGAACATCTGCTCAGATGTTTTCTACTCTCTCATTAGAAAATGGTTAATTGGATCTGGCGGTCCCTAGGAACCGTGTTTGGCCTCCTTCTGTTTTTAGGACACATTATTTTAGCTTTTAGGGAACCAGAAAAGAGAACGCCTCTCTGATATGAGTCATTAAGTCTCTGCTTTGTGTCACTTCCTGTCCTTGCAGTGAGCGGCGACCCCCCACTGACTGACACCCTGCGGTTCCGGTGGTTCCTCCGCATCCTGTCCCCCAGGGCCCAACTTCAGCGCATCAGGATTCTGTTGGTGGCGGTTTGGAATCTCATTAGACGCTTTATTAAGTGGCTATTCGGTCTGGCGCCGCCTCCCCCTGGGGCCGGCGTGCGCTCCCAGCAGCCCGTGGTGCCCTGCGCCGACCCCTCCCGAGCCCATGTTCAGGGTAAGACCCGGCCGCGACCGGCTCTAAACGGATCGGCCTTCATCGTTTGATGTTGTCCTCTTCGTCAGCAGGAATTGCGGTGCGTCCGCCAGGAGCCATGTGCCTCCCTCCACCCAACAGCATGGACAGTAAGCAACAGGGGCCGGTGACCGGGGGAGGGGCTGTACCTAAACCACAAGATGGAGGCGTTTCGCTGGAGCCCTTCGTACACCAGGTGGGCTGGACCCGACAAAAAGCCCTGAATACAAAGAACCTGACTTTTACACTGCAAAAACTAATATCTTACCAAGTCAGTTTAGTTTCTAGTGCAAATATCTTAGTGCACTTGAAGTAAGACACATAAAACACAACTAACTTATAAGTAACTTTTTATTAAGATATAACGGCTTGTCTTAAGCCAATAATTTCTTAATATTGATGAAAAAGTTTTGGTTCCATTATCAGACGATTTCACTTAAACCATGACATTTTTCCCAGCCAGTGAATCTAGTACCTTTTTTTATTAATCAATATTAAGGAATTATTAACCTAAAGGCAACATTTGATGCTTCTAAAACCACTTAAAACATACCTTCCAGCTGTTTTCCGGTAATAAATAAATGTTTTTTAGTGTCTGGAAGATGAACCGTTTAAAAAACTTTCTGAATCCAACGTCACAAATCAGAACCTAGCAGTCCCAGCCAAGCCCCGTTACCTAGCAACCCCAGCAGAGCTCCAGCATGTTTGGTCAGCTGGTTTTACCTCACTTTGGATTTAAAGTGACAGGACGCCCTAAAACAGCTCAAAAGAGGCAGAACTGACCAGACTGAAATCTCATTATCCAAGAATCATTATGAACATGTTATATCTGTCCTAACATGTTCCAGGAAGCACAACAGTCACCTTTAAAACAAACGCCTGTGTCTCGCTAAAAAGCTGTTTCTAAGTTAATTCAAGTTTTCTAAGATTTGCACTGGAAACTAAACTAAAAATACTTGGTAAGATTTTGTGTTTTTGCAGTTCTTTGTTTACTTCAGTAAATCCAGGATGCCTGGCAGCTTTTCATGTGTGTGTGTGTGTGTGTGTGTTGCAGGTGGGGGGTCACAGCAGCATGATGCGGTACGATGACCACACTGTGTGTAAGCCTCTGATCAGCAGAGAGCAGCGCTTCTATGAGTCTCTGCCTCCTGAGATGAAGGAGTTCACTCCCGAGTATAAAGGTCAGTCGCCGCTCTCTGATGTTTTGGATCAGAACCGCTGGGCTCTTCATGCCGCCAGACCCCATCTCAATGCAGCATTATAGAACCTGCTGCACACATTACTGTAACTGAAATGATTAATCAGATTAATTGTGATTAATCAATTATCAAAATAATCATCAACAAATTTAGTAAGTCTCTCCGAGGTCCAGTAACATTCGCTCAGCTCAGAATAACTCCCTGCTAAATGGCTGGAGTAGCAGAATGACGCTGAGGAGGAAGGAGATCCGGATGTTTAGTGGAAGAGGAGACGTAGCGGCTCTGTTCTCCATCAACGGCCGCTGCTGGATCTGCCTGACACCCTGATGATGTAGAAACAGACCCAAACAAACGCCGACAGCGTTGGTCCTGTTCCCTGTGTTAGAAGAAATACTTCATGGTTGATGGAGCAGGCGTCTTATTAATCAGTCTGTTAAAACAGGGAGTGCTTTTTTTGGCTCTTTTCTTTAAAGCTGGCCTGTTTTACTTCCTTGAACAGGTTAGGATAGATATATACAAAACATTTTCATAAAATTTTTTGCACAAGATCGTTTTAGATGGAGATTTTATTCTGCTCAGTTTTGTGTATTTTTGAGCTGTTTTAGTGCGTCCTGTCACTTTAAATCCAAATAATCTGCTGCTGGCCACGCCCCCAACTCAACGTTTGTAATCACACATAAAAATGGCTGCAAACATATAAGCAATTATACAACTGTATAGCTTTGAAAAGCATCAGTGGAACCTCCTGCTCAATCAACAATAATGCAGCGAGTGGTTTCTGGACGGCAAGTCAACAAGAAAATATTTGCTTTTTTCAGCAGCCACTGTACAGCACAAGCAGCGGTAAATCCAGCTGACCAAACGTGCTGGAACTCTGCTAGGGTTGCTAGGTAACGGACTGGGTTGCTTGGCAATGGCAAAGTGTTACCCAAGGTTTGAGAGATTTTGGAAATGGCTTGTTTTCCAGACACAAAAAAATACTAACGTATTGCCAGAATCGGATTGGTGGTTTTATTAAGTGCTTGGGTTGTTTTTAGAAGCAGAAGAGACCAAAATGAAAGTACAAAAATGTGCAAAATGTGAATTTTGCATAATAGTTCCCTTTTAATATTTTGAAATTTTTTCTTTTTTTTTTACTCAGAGGGACACTGGGGTGTGTTGAAAGAAAAACGAGAGTGAATAATGTTCATAGTTTGAGTTGGGCTGATAGAGAACCTGGCAGCTTGTTGTGACGGTCCAGCCGGACCCAGAGAGCCCAAACTGTCAGCTGCACACGTCGCCTAGCAGCGCCACGGCAGACAGAGAGGAAACCATCAACCTGCTGCAATCGGTCCCAAAACCAGGATGCGACACAAACTGTGGAAACCAGCGTGACCCATTTACTTACTGAGCTCTTTGTTGGAATAAATCACAGCAGCTTTAATGGGACAAATTCACAGTTTAAACAAACATGAATACTGAGACGCAGCTCTGAAAGTGTTTGGAGAAATTACTCCATAATCATCTGAAATAATGCATGCAGTTTGGTGAGGTTATGTCCCTGGGAGGGATTGAAAGGCCTTTAAAGAAAATGAACAAGAAGCACAGACATGTTGGCGCTACTGGAGCACTTCCTGTTCCCACAGGATGAAAAGAAAAAACCTTTAGTCTGCTGGTAAAGCAGGGATTCTCAAACCTCTCATTACATCGTGAAAAAAGTCTTATCCTGACAGCGACATCCCAAAGCTAAAAGTATTTTCAGGATTGCTACCTTTACCATTTTCTCCACATTTGGATCCATGACATCATCAATAAATATCAAT